GAGAGAGAGAGAGAGAGAGAGAGAGAGAGAGAGAGAGAGAGAGAGAGAGAGAGGATACAGAGGAATAGAGACAGAAATAGAGGCAGGTATTTATTTATATAGAGACAGAAAGAGCCCTGCTACAGACAGACAGACAGACTTGCCATCCTCACTTAGCCTTGTTTCCACGGGGTTAAGGGGAACTAGGATGTAGTTACTGGGTCAGAGAGGACCACGGCTCTCTCCTGTGGATCACATCTCATTTTGCCAGTTTTGAACCAAGCCCTTTACAGTACACAGTTGACTGGATTGTCACCAAAATGACAAGAAGTGGCTCCCCTTCTTACTTGTGCCTTGGTGGGGTGCTGGAGGCTCTGGAGCCAGAGCCTCTCCTAGCCCCCAAAGCAGTGGATGAGGAAATAGATACAAGGACCCAGAACCTGGTTGCGGGGGCATGGCTCAGAGGCAAGGCTCAGCTGATTGTGCAGGAGGGCCTGAGTTCCATCCCCAGGACCCCGAAAGTGCTTGCCTACTTATAGAGAAAGGGGGAGGGGAATGAAGTCAGAGTCACTGTGCTGGGGGGTGGCAGAAGGAACAGGAGCGGCTCTCGGTGTTGGGGAGCCTCCTGGCTAATGCTGGGCAGAACTAACATTCCTAAGAAGTACAGGAAAAAACAAAACAAAACAAACAACCCCAGCCGGGTGGCTCTGGGCAGGGTAATAGTGACAGTCCCCCAAATGCTTCTTGAATCTGGTGACTTAGAAGGTGCTGTGGCTGGATTCTACCAGAAGCAGCCTGGAGCATCCAGGGGTCGATGACGAGGATATCGCCTTTCTCAGTCTGACACGCATCCAGACATCTGCTCCAGGCACGGGGTCTCACCCCAAACCCCTGCATGGACAGTGAGTGTTTGCATGCCCCCTGTTCCATCTTCCTCATGACCCTCTACTAAGAGTTGGCCCAGGGAAGCAGGGGAAGAGGGACTTGGTTTGCTTACTCTATGTGGCTGCCACCGAGGGCTAATACATTACCCAGGGCTAATGAAAACATAATTATCTTCTTTTGGCTGCAGAGAGGGGCTAATTTAATAGGCTGCGATCGAAAGGCATCTGTTGAATTCACCCATCAGTGAAAACACTTGAAGGGCCCGGGAGGGGAGAGGAGAGGGCTGCTGGCTGGCTTGCAGCTGTGTCCAGGCTGCAGGGCGCCTACAGCTCAGATAGCAGCAGCTGAAGGACCACGGCAACCCCCAGGTGTCTATGCAGACACAGACCTGGGGGCTCCATTCCTGCCATGAGTTGCAGGCTTCTCCTTTGCCACTAGCAGCCTCAGCCTTCTCATCCATACAATGGGGCTTAATTATTCCTCTTATACCACAACTTAAGGGACACACTTGAGGTGATGAGAGAGGAAGGGTCCCAGCATGTTCTATGTGTTTAATAAAACAATCTCTTCTCTTGCCCTGACTGCGCAGGCTGTACTGAGATGTAGGGTCCTTGCATTAAAAACCCCCCTCTTTGGAGAAGCCCTTGCTCCGAATACACCGTGCACTTGGGAATATTTACAAATTCAGTGTTAGACTGGTAAGAAACTCAGAAGGGTAGGACGACCACTATCACTCATCACTCCAAGTCGGTGGTTCTCAAAGTTCCTGGACAACTAGGTCACCATCCCCTGAGAACCTCTTGATGATGCTCACCCCAGACCCACCGAAGCAGACACTCGGGGCTGTGTTTGTGACACACTCATTGGGGGTGGGGGGGATTTGTCAGAATCCAGTGCCAACCAAAAGCCAAACACACACTTGTTTAAATAAGTGAATGAAGGGCCAAGCATTCATTCAGCCAGGCTTCGTGTGCTCAACATCACCTCCCTTATTAAGCACCAACTGTATACACAGCCCCATGCAATGAAGCCCTTGAATTCTTCCAGCCTCTTTAACCTACGCCCACATTCCCTCACACCCCAGTTCTGAAGAGTGCCCCTGAGTTACAGGGGTGATGACAGTCTCAGGGCTGTCCCTCTGTTGCCATGGTAGTCAGATCCCCTCTGTCCCTGAATCTGCTCCACTCATCTCTCTGGGTGAGAGATACTGGTTTCAGAAATGAAGTTAGCTAGTGTCTGAGCTCAGCCCTGGGTGTTTGCCTGGGAGTTGTCGGTCCAAAGTGCTTGTTATGAGACTCCATGCCCACCAGTCTCTTTTGCAGTCAGAGAAACAAGAGCCCTGGAAATGCTGTCTGGCATTATACACAGAGATCCTAAGACCAGAAAGTTCCAGAGCCATCTAGGGGCAGCAGCCTGTGGGTGGCTGATTGGTTTTTCCCCTCCAGCTCAGGGATCATAAGAGGGAAAACATTTCATCTAAGCAGCTTTGGAGCCAGAAGGCTGGCGGGCCAGACAGGACCCAGTATTAGGAGCATGGTTATTTGAGAGGCTAGTGTCCCTAGGGAAGGAAGGAGCACAGTCCCTGGAGATGTTACCTCAGACACCGGAAGTAATTTGTAAGACTCTAGCAGCGATAAGGGAGGAACCATTTAAGGTTTAAAAGGAGCAACCTGGGCATAAGAAATAATGTGACCTGACTCTGTCACTCATGCATGGGCTGTGTGAGCTGGGGTAAGCAGCTTGGAGTCTCTGAGCCTCAAAGGAGAATTTAATGTATAGATGGGTGGCTCCATGTGTTATATGCAAAATCCAGCACACGAAGGTTTCGAAGTGTCCAAAGCCCCTTCAAAGGGCCCCCAGACCTGGCACTTCGTCTTTGGGGGTCCCTGATGGCTGCTGCATTTACCAAGCTAGCTCAGCAGAGGCAGTTCCAGAAATGGTTGACAGATGGCGCTAAGCCTTCACGGTAGCCAACTTGCTTTTTGAGACCCATCTGGAAGACGCTATGGTTTCTTAGAGTCAGCTTTTGGGACCTCCGGCCTGGGTCCTGGACAAACTGGGCTGCTTTGAATGATATGGGACTGCTGGGCCTGTTAATACCTTAGTCCAAGTCTAGTCCTGTAACTTCCTGTTCTTTTTCAGGTCTCCTCCGTGTGGACAGCTGGGCTGGAATTTGCAGGGTACAGCCAGGGCTTCTGTGTCTTACTTCTTCTAGAGGACATATCAAGTGGGCTGAGTGTGAGGCATCGGAGAATGGTGGGGTCTGCAGAGAATTCTAATTATTCCCCTGAAATTAAAGCATCGAGGCCACTCGTTGGAGAATTCTGACCACAAATGTGGGTTTCAGTTCCTGTGAGTGGTGCTGCGTGGTGTCAAGAGAGATCCCCATTATAGTGTCACAAACTGCCAAGTGCCTAAGAATTCCCAACATCCATGGATGAGACCCCCCTGCGGTGATATATTGTGTCCCCCAATATATTGTGCACCCTAATAAAGCTTATCTGATGGAGATAAGGAAAAAGCCAGTCACTATATTAAACATAGAAGTCAGGCAATGGCAGCACAAGCCTTTAACCCTAGCATTCAGGAGGCAGAGATCCATTCGGATCTCTGTGAGTTCAAGGCCACACTGGGAACAGAGCCAGGCATGGTGGCACACGCCTTTAATCCCAGCACCCCCTCAAAACATGGAGAGCTAGGATGGCTGTGCCCTTAGCAAGCTGTTGGGGAGACCGAGTCAGATGACCTCCTTGTTCCAAGTTGACTATTTTGTTGCTGTGACACCGCCCCCCCCCCCCCAATAAGCTGGGCTGGATCCTCATCTTTGGCTGCAGACATCTGGAATTCAATGACACAGCTTCTCGGCAACCATGACACCATTCCCTTATCTAAGTCGAGATAGAGATCTCCTGTGACCACACCCCTCTTTACCACACCACAGATGTTCACAGAGAAGATCATACCATTGGCTGTTGCTGAGAAGTCCCTAAGGAAGGTCACTGGGGATGTCGAGGACAGAGGGGCAGGTAGAAATTCCAGCTTTATATTTTAAAAAGCCCCCCAAAGTCAAGGTCAGGTACCATAATTCTTCACCCAACTCTACCTCACCTGCCGTGTGACCTTGGGCAAGACTGCTCCCCTCTCTGAGCTCTATGAAATGAAGGAGGTTGGGCTAGAATGTAGCTTCTGTCTCTACTCTAGGTTTGCTTAGGTCTCACGGCAGTTTGGTGGGTAGAGGGTGGAGTCTGGGGAAGGATGCCATAGCCCCTTGGTCCCTCCTCAATTCAGAGGATCTCTGCCTTTTGAACGTTTGGCTTTCTTGCTTGTATATCAGGACGATGGTGCTAAATGTAGCTTCCCATCATTCAGTCAGTCAACCACACCTCCCTGTTTCTGTGTGTGTGGAGCGCTGTGGGGCCGATGAGACCCGGGGCAGGATTTTTGTCACCGGAGGACCATGAACTCATGGCCCATAGCAGTCACCTGAGCGCTGACACTCTGCAGTCTCTATGGTCTGCACCCCCGCACCGGGAACCTGTCAGCCTTACCCTCACTTCCAAAGCTATAATGAGAGAAGCCACTTTATTCTCCCCAGTCAGACGGCCCTGAGCTCTGACATCCAATTGATTCAAGTGGACACTCTTCCTCTTTTCGTGTGGATGGGGGAGGAGCTGGTGCCATTTAAAAGCTTAGGATTCAGTTCTGGGCTCTGCTGACTCTTAACTGTGTGGTCCGAGGTTGGTTATTGGACTCTTTTGAAGGTAGCGGCCACGTTGGAATCTATTTTGATGTTTTCAAATGTCTAGCAGTTTGCTAACATGTCCCAGGCATTCGGTAACTCAACCCAATTGCTTGGGAGGATTTGGCAGTTTCTCCACACTACTGATTTTAGGAGCTGAGTCCTTGGACTAGCAGCAGCAGCAGCAGCAGCAGCACCTGGGTTGTGTGGAACCTACACATTTTTCTGCCCTTGTTCCAGTCAGTAACACCACAGGAGGGACGGAGCATGGCTAGCTGAATTTTAAGAAGTTGCTTGCAGTTCTGATGTGCCAAGTAAGCTTGGGACTCACTTCTCTATATTCATGATATTTTCACAATATTCATTATCCAGATGAGGTTGTGTATATGATTATATATGTAGAATGCACATAGTTTACTTTATTATGATTATTATTTGAGACAGGGTCTCAGGTCGTCCAGACTGGCTTTGAACTCCCTATGTAGACAAGGATGAACTTGAATTTCTGAACCTGAGTGTTGGGGTTATGGACACATTACCACCATGTCTGTCTTTATTATTTATTTGTTTTAATTAATTATTTCTTTCTTTTTTTTTTATTGAAACAGAGTCTCACAGAAACTAATAGACAAAGTAGTAAAGACGATCTGTGGTTGCTGGAAGGGCCCAAATAGCCAAAGCAGTTCTTGCAGAAAGAACAAAGCCCAGAGGGATTGCAATATGAGACCTCAAAATGTACTACAGAACCATGGTGACAGCACCAGCATGCTACCGGCAACAGACCAAACACGACCAGATGAATAGAACAGAGGGCCCCAAGAGAAAGCCATTCACATCAAAGATCCCAAAGCAGTGGGGAAAAGACTTGACAACTGGTGCTGGAGGAACCCGATGTCCACAGGAGGAAGAACAAAGCTAGGTTCCCTACCACACTGTGCAAAAATTCGTTTACACTTGATCAGAGACCTTAATGTAGGATCTGAGACTTGGACGCTGCCCTACTTCATGATACAGACAGACAAGGATGTTCTGGAGAGGACCTCAGCAGACTGAGAAATCATAGCCCAAAGTGTCAAATGGGAACGTGTGAAATTAGAAGTGTCTGGATTAGCAAAGGAAACAACTAAGTAAACGCAGAATGGGAGAAGGCCTTTGCCAGCCCTCCATCTGACAAGGGGATAGGATCCATAATATATAAAGAGTTCAAACAAATAAACATAAAAAACCCATCCAATCATTAGTGGGCACCATGATCAAAAGCAACCCGGGAGGAAAGGGTTTGTTGCAGCTTACAGTTCCATGGCATCGTCTACTACTGAGAGAAGTCAGGGTAGGAACCTGGAGGCAAGAACTGATGCAGAGACCATGGAGGAGTGTTGTTTACTGGCCTACTCCTCGTGGCCTGATCAGCCTGCTTTCTTATACACCCTAGGACCTCCTACCTGGGAGTGGCACTGCCCATAATGGGCTGGGTCTCCCACATCCATCTTTAATCAAGAAAATGCCCCACAGTCTTACCTTTGGCCAATCTGAATGGAGGCAATTCCTCAATTGAGGTTCCTTCTTCTCAAGGAACCCCAGCTTGTGTCAAGTTGACAAAAAAAAAATGTGGCTCTTCCCAGAGGGAATGGGCCATGACCAAGAAAGTGAATGCTAACAAGTGCTGGCAATGATGGGCGAGCGATGAACCTTGAGGTCACCGTTGGTGTTGATGGGAATGGAAATGGGTTCGGCCTCTGTGGAAGTCAGTATGGAGGTTGAAAGCAGGGTCAGACATGATGGCCTGCCATTGCATGATGGCAGGCCAAAGCAGAAAGATCAAGGCTACGTCATGGGGTAGACTGGGCCACTTTATCTTACTCAGTCCAATCCCCAACCCCAGCAACAGCAGAATCATCATGTGATCGTGTGATCTAGTTACACAATTCCTGGCTACAAACCTGAAGGAATGTAAACGGGACAACTAGAGAACTATTTGCACATCCACACCCTGCCCTCCCCGCACATTCAGGCTCACTGCAGGACTATCCATCACCACCAAGGTATAGAATCAGACTAAATGCCCAGAATCAGATGGATGGATAAAGAGAAGGGGGGTATACACATAATGGAGTATTAGTCAGCCATGAGGAAGAATGAAATCATGTCATCTGCAAGAAAATGTGTGGAACCAGAGACAACGATGTTAAGCAAAATGAGCCAGATTTAGAAAAATTTAGACATTGCATGTTTCCTCCCATACATGACATCTAGATTTAAAAGTAAACATGGGGATAAAAATAGAAACAGGAGTGTTTTGTGGGGGAGCAGGCTACAGGAAGGACAGGGCAAAAAGGGAAGATGATGGGGTGAACATGATTGAAGTCCATTGCATACATGCATGAAAATGCCACATTTTAGCACTGTTAATATATACATAAAAAAGGACTGTCGGGAATAAAAAAAAGCAATGTTTCTCTAGGAAAGTAAAAAGGCATCTAGAGGGGCCCCGAGGGGGAATAAAGACCCCCTTCTTCTCCCATCCTACCCCAGGAGCCTCTGAAACACTTAGGACTTCCAGGAACACAGCTTAAAATGCATTACCTGGGGACTCTTCATCTTGCTGCCCAATGCCTACCTACCCAGCAAGCAGTCCATCCATCTGTCCATCTAACATCTGTCATCCATCTACCCACTCATTCTTACACATATGAACCTGCCCACCCATACATCCATGAACACATAAATCTGTTCATATATCCATCTATCCACACATCCATCTACCCAAGTACCAATGCACACATGAATTCATTCATCTATATACCCATCCACCACCCATATATATATCCAGTCCATGCATATATGAATCTAACCATCATCCATTTGTATATTCATTCACCCACCTATCCATACACATATATGAACCCATCCACCTACCCATCATTCATTCATCTATCCATCTATTCATCTGTGAATACATAATAATCTATCAATATATCATCCATCCATCTTTTCACCCATCCACTCATAATCCATTCATATACCCATCCACTATCCACCCATGCATGCAAGAATTTATCTATCCATGTATCTCTCAGTGCATATATGCATGTATCTTTTCATGGATTAATTAAACCATTATCTGTCCACCCATCTATTCATTAATCTATGTATACACAAATTCATTATCCATCTACTCATGAATCCATCCATCTACCATTTATCAATATATATCTAATCCATGCATACATGAATCCACCCATCCGTCATTCATATCTACCCATCCACCTATGCATACATCAATATATCATCCATCCATCCACCCATTCATTCATCATCCATTCATACATCCATCCACTATCCACCCATGCATGGATGGATTCATTCATACATATATCTATCTGTCAATGCATGTATGCATGCATCTTTTCATGAAGGCATTATTTTATCCATCATCTATTCACCCATATATCCAGCCATCTGTGCATACATAAATACATCATCTATCTACCTATGCACACATGAATCCATCCATCTATCTATCTATCTATCTATCTATCTATCTATCTATCTATCTATCTATCTATCTATCATCTATCATCTATCTATCCATCCATCCAGGTATGTATGTATGTATGTATGTATCTACCTACCTACCTACTTACCTACCATCTATTCATCTATCATCTATCTATATATCTATCTATTTATCTACTCATCCATCCATTACTCACACATAATTCATCTATCCATTCATTCATGCATATATGAATCTATCCCACCCATCCACTCAATAATATATCCATCATCTATTCATCCAACCATCTACCTATGCCTATATAAATCCATACATCATCCATTAATTCATCCATGTACTATATTCTCATGTACACATGAATTCATCCATCTATCAGTCTATCTGTTGATGCATCCATGTATCCATGTATATTTATCCATTCATCTGTTCACTATCTGTCCATCCACATATCTATATCTATTGAGATTACATGTCTCTTACATTTCTGTCTTACCAAGAAGACTGTTTCCAAGCATACATGTAAAGAGGACAATATTGGAAACCACAAACAGTGTGAACATTCTTTATTGATGTGCTCACTATCACATCAATAAAGATACCAGTGGCCTTTGGGACAGAGAGCAGTTTTTCCCATCATGCAAAAGTTGGTTTCCTGAGTTTTGGATTCTTCTCCTGAAGATAACCCATGTCATCGGGTCCTCTTTGTGTTGCCTGCTGGGATTGGGCTCAACGCTGATCTCCTGGTTTCTACTGTTGACATGAGTCATAAAGGCCAGTGCCCCTGACCCAGGCACCTTGTGTCACATGCAAGCATACATGAAGCTGCAGTCGGCCACATGTCAGCTTATGAGTGGGCAGCAACCTTCAGATGTCAGAACTTGGACATTGTTCAGCCGCTCTGCACTCAGCTCTGTGTGTTGGTCCCATTATCATATAAAAACACTTAGAGGATGACCCGGCCTAGAGAGCCTATAGTGGCTCCTCAAGGAGATGGGTAGAGACACCCAAGGACTCCAGCTGAGCTGTAAGACATGAAGGGGAAGCTTTGGGGCAGAGCACATAAAGTAGGTAGACACCAGGAGAGGCCCACAGTGGGTGACTGATCTCCTCAGCCATACTCCAATACTCTCCTCTCCAACCATGGCTCAGTGCTGTCCAGTGCCTCAGCCTCCACATGTGGCAGCAGCCCTTAGGAAAGAGCCATGTTTCTCCATCTCTGGGGTCCTGGCACTCCACACCGGTGTTTTGTACACAGTAGTCATGTAATAAAGGTTTGTGGACTCATAGGAACATTCTAGGTGGCTTCATCCCACGGGCCAGCCGAAGTGTGAACTCTCACCCACTTGGTGGACAGCATAGGAATTCTCAATCTGAAAACCCAGGAAGCTCCCAAACCCGAAAGTTAGTGTGCTTTGGTTTGAGGCTGTGAGTGGAAAATTCCACAGTTGACTGCTTGGGAAGTCCCAATAAAATCGCACTGATAATACTGCAGAAAACTACTTTCAGCCTGGGTGTGGGAGGTACGCAGGAAACAGAAATGAACTCCGTGCTTAGATCAGGGCATAGAGGCAAATATTGCAAAACCCAAAAAACGCCTGAAATCTACATTTCTGCCCCCAAGCATTTTGGAGAAGGGACATGACTTGTTTTGCACATTTGCACATTGTTTGCTGGTCACTGGTGGCAGAATCAGGTGTGGGCTCAGGAGACCTGCCTCTAGGGTCTGTGCGCTGACACAACACGATAGCGGCCGATGAGGAAGGGACAGGTGGAGGGGACAGTCCCGGGTACGGAAAGCTGAGGAAGCAAATGGCATCAGAGTATCATTGCTACATCGTCACCATGGTTATTGTTCTGGGCCGTCCCTCCTCCAGCTGCCCTGTGAGTTGGGTACTACTGGCTGAACTTTGGGGGACACCAAGGCTTGGAGAGGCAGAATTACTTACTCCAGGACATGTGTCTAAACAGTGACAGCTGTAAAGTTGGAATCCAGGTCTGTTGGACTTGGATACCAACCAATCGTAATGGGAAAGTCTGGAGGTAAAGCCTGGCAGGTGGTCCTCAGGGTGAGAGCCAGGCAAAGGGATCCACTGGCTAAACTCTGAGACAAGGTTGAGCTGATTCACATCTAGGGCCAAAGAGAGCACAGTAGGTATAGGGCAGATGAGAAAAGTGGGTAACCCCCATGAACTTTCTAGCACAGGCTGTTCCCATCATGATTGCACCCCACTAATCAACACGATGAGAGGATGACCACAGGAGCCACAGGACACCCGGCTCTAACCAAGCCAACCTCTGCCTGATGCTAGCTGTGTGACCTTGGGCTGGGGACCTAGCTTCCCAGATGCCCCCACCTCACGCACAGCATCTGTCTACCTTTCAAATGTTTTGAAAATCACACCGACCAATAACCACATTATTCAGGTGTACAGCGGGCACCTGAATAATGAAAATTCCTTCTTTCTTTACTTAACATTGATTCACACACACACACATACACGCACACGCACGCACGCGCACGCGCACACACACACACACACACAGAGAGAGAGAGAGAGAGAGAGAGAGAGAGAGAGAGAGAGAGAGAGAGAGAGAGAGAGAGAGAGAGACATACACACCACGGTGTATTTGTGGAAGACAGAGAACACCTTGTAGGAGGAGTCAGCTCTCCTTTTCTACTATACGGGTCCCAGGGATCAAACTCAGG